GAATGAGTTGTGCTCTCATGAAACACAATATGAGAACCTTTTTGGGAGACGTGATCGGGTTGACGAGCTTATGCATACACTCTCATTCTTTGAGGAGTGCCCCCCGTATGATAGGTGGTTGACCATGCCAGATATGGGGCACATTATCTCATCATGCTATAATGTGGTTCTGATATATTTATCCATGTCATTATCTGTCACATTTTTACCAACCAAGACGATGTCATTGCCCTTGTTAGAGCGCCGTCACATTGCCATCGGTTCAGTCAACGACAACCACTTTGTTCAGGTATTGTACACGAATCGAGTAGTATAATTGCCGTATACGATTTGTTATGCTTTGTGGAGGTGATTTTCCGTGCCTAACTGTTGGCATGTCCTGTTCTCCATAGGTGTTTCTGTTTCCAGGGCATCCTATGCCTCCTGTTTTGGATTGTTGGCACCGAGTTTGCCTACCAGATGCTGAGGGTTGGCAAACTGCCTACACTGAACGTATTCAACGTTTTAGAGAGATTGTTGATTCAGATGTGGCTACCAGAGAGACTGCATAACTCAATAACTAATGACCTTAATTGGTTGACATTGTATTTTATACTCATGGTCAGCTAACTATATTGTGTATGCTTAGTAAAATACAAGATGGACAAAATATGAATACAAAGTTACATGTATTATTTGGCCAAATATTTTATAATAAAAAAAGGTGAAAAACCCTAAAATCAAATGTTTCTGTTATTAAATTCGTTGAATAAACAATAAAATATAGTTGATATTTCTTATATGATGGCTGAAAAATCAAGGTTTTTTTATTTATTTTTTATATCAGCAATACTGGAAATTGGGAAAAAGGGAATTCGAACACACGGCCATACAGAAGTAACTATACTTAATCACTTAAACTATAAACTCTTGTTAAAAACTGAGTATTATAATTCCAACATTTGTGACAATATTATGTTTAACACCAATAAACACAATGCAATTGGTAATTTGGTAAAGCAAAAAGTAAATACCAAATAGGAGTGGCAGTGGGGCTGTAATACATGCGTAAAGCGTAGCTCTACAACTCTCCATTAGTAAATTGAATAGCAGACTTATTTTAGGTATTGCTCTTTCGAGAGTATATTATTTCCCTCTATTATTATTATTGATGATGCTGGTGATGTCGGTAGGAGTGAAGAAGTTGTGTTTGTAAGAGATTAATATGGGGGAGGTGGTGTTTATTCCTTTTAACATGGTGTATAGTTTTCCTCGGTTTCATTTCCCTTTCGATTTTTCTTATAGGGTTTGAAAGCTTTTGTAATGGGGTGGCTTTGATGAAGCAAGGGATTTACATAGTATAACACAATGCAAATATTCCTAAAAAT